TGTTGTCCTGCTTGCTTCAGAGTGCGAACATTGAACGCGGCCAGATAGAGTGGGTGTCGAGGCTTGAGGACTGATTTTGAGATTCCTGAAGATGTCGGCACCATGTGACGAGCAGATGCTGCACGCAAAACCGATGCATGACGGACGGAGTCATCAGTCCTAAGTGCTGGGCCTACAAGGAGAGAGTTATTAATGGGGTGGGGAGAGGGGGAAGAAAAAGTATGTGAAGGAGAAAGAAGGGAGGCGTCAGCAGTAGCCTGTTTTCGCTTACCCGCCCTGCTGTATGCAGCAAGTAAGGCGACCCGGCTGATGGCACCACTCGACGGCCGATGTGGCATGAGTTTACTTGTGTATGTGCTATTCATGGTTGTACGTGGGCTGGGATACTGCCAGGGCGCCCACACCTAGACAGGAGGACGATTAGGGTCCTCAACCAAAGCCTTTGGCTCAAAAGCCTAACCGCAAGGCGGCGGTGTTTGGCGGGAAATGCAAATGCATTACCATTTCTACGGAACAAGTCGCCACATGTTCCAACCCCCAACCTGGAGGGCCAGGAGACTGTGTTCGCCAGACCTCTAACCATTGACCAACCTGGTGTGAGAGACTCTGCGAGTGTCGCGGGTCACTCTCCAGTATAGCTCAATGGATCGCTGAGGTGCACAAACCGTCACATCACGGTAAGGTCCAGTCTCTTCGTGACGGCGCACACCCAAATGGCGATATTGTTCTTTTTTCGGTACTGGCTTGTCCGCCGTTTTCTTTGCTGCCCTGTAAGATGTCACTTGTTAACTGCTGCATTTGTTTGAGACACCGCTCACTGAGAGCAAGTTTGAATTTAACTCCAAATACTTTCTATTTATCTTTTTCCATACCCTAAATCGATTCTCGTAACCCACTTGCTCTCTTCGGTAGCCACCCGTGTTTTTGTTCGTCTTCTAAGTTGTCGGAAGCGTCTAGACGTGGGAAACTTGGTTATCAGTCGTATTCCGTCACTTGCTGTCCAGAGTTGTTGGAAATGTGTTGCTCAGTCTCATGCACGGGCTGTGTTTGGTTGTTCACTGTCTGTCGCATTCACAGTTCCCTGCCCCCCCCCCCCTTTCTGATAATGCCACTTCCTCCATGCTGCTTTCTTTGTCCTTCCGCCCTTTCTCGTTGACTGATCACGTGTTTTTCATTTC